TGACACCCCAACACCCTGTCACCCTGGCACCCCACCTGACACCCCGGCACCCCACCTGACACCCAGACACCCTGCCTGACACTGTGACACACTGACACCCCAACACTCCGTCACCCCGGCACCCCACCTGACACCCCGGCACCCCACCTGACACTGTGACACACTGACACCCCAACACTCCGTCACCCCGGCACCCCACCTGACACTGTGACACACTGACACCCCAAAGACCTGCCTGAAACCCCACGTGACACCCCGACACCCCACGTGACACCCAGACACCCCGCCTGACACTGTGATACACTGACATTCTGAAACCCCAACTAATACTCCGAAACCCTGACACACTGACACCGTGACACTCTGAATAACCACCTGACACACTGTCTGACTGACGAGCTACCTGACACCCTGACTGTGATACCGCCTGACTGCCTCTCACACTGACTCCCCCCCGGACACAATCTGACTGACTGACACTCTGTCCGAGCAACTGACACGCTGACCAGACCACCTCCCTGATCGACACACTGACTGACCGACACAGCTCCTGACTGACACACTGACTGACAGACCCAGCGGCTCACTGACACCCTGAGTGATACAAAGACTGAGAAAACTGACTGCACAATCAAAACACTGATCGACCAGTTTATATCGGCACTAAATTCTGCTGGCTGTGTCTCCTGGACGCCTGCAGGTAACTACCCCGACCGCCTGCAGTGTCTGAACGCCCCCATCCTCAGTAGCAGTGCCTGCTCCAGCGCCTATCCTGGCCAGATCACCAGCAACATGTTCTGTGCTGGATTCCTGGAAGGAGGCAAGGACTCATGCCAGGTAACACAATAATAAACAACTATTTACTCATTACAGTGAAGTAACCCTGCCCTCTCTCTCTCAGTGCACTATTAATGTCCTGGAGTGTCCAGTCAGTGTGTCTGTATTAACCCCTCTCTCTCTCTCTCAGGGTGACTCTGGGGGTCCAGTGGTCTGTAGTGGTCAGCTCCAGGGTGTGGTGTCCTGGGGATATGGCTGTGCCCAGAAGAACAAGCCAGGTGTCTACGCCAAGGTGTGCAACTATGTCTCCTGGATCAGGAGCACCATGTCGTCCTACTGAAGGAAACCCTGAGAGAAAGACAAAGAGAGACAAAGAGAAATAAAGTGTAAACCAAGCTCTTCTGTGTCTGAGTCCGCTCTGTTCAGTACTGCTGTGTCTGTGAGCCTGAGAGCTGTCACTACAGTGAATACTTTACTTTACCCTGATCTCACTGGGCTTTACTGCCCTGTACTGCGCTTTTACCCTGATCTCACTGTGATTTACTGCACTGCACTGTGCTTTTACCCTGATCTCACTGTGATTTAATGCACTGCACTGTGCTTTTACCCTGATCTCACTGTGATTTAATCCACTGCACTATGCTTTTACCCTGATCTCACTGTGATTTAAAGCACTGCACTGTGCTTTTACCCTGATCTCACTGGGCTTTACTGCACTGCACTGTGCTTTTACCCTGATCTCACCATGCTTTACTACACTGTGCACTGAGATGAGTGTTGTAGGAGTGGAAATTGGTGTGTTCGGTATGAGAGAATATTTATAGGTCTTTTATGAGACCAGTGTTTACATTGGTCCTGTTAAGCTGATGAAGTTGTTTAGTTTTGTCAAGAGCTTTCGATCCTGGAGGGCTGCTCAGTGCCACACAAATCAACTGGAAAGGAATGGGTGCGATCAGTGAGAGCACAGGCGTGGAGTGACAGTCCCACTGCTGTTATGCAGTGCTGTCCTAGTGTCGCGATTGTTCTGGACACACCTGTGTGTAACGCCCCGCTGACACAGCCTTTCTGGCCCGCTGGTCTCGCG